CCTCCCCCCCCACTTCAAACCATAACACCCCCTTCTGTCTCCCTTCTATGTGAAGCTCAGAATCGGAAAACAAAAGCTTCAGAGTAGTCCAGTATTAAATGCCTCTGCTTTCCTCGCTCTCTAGTCTCCTGCAACAGAGATGGTTATGGTGGGAGACGCTTACCTTTCCAGGATGCTGTTAATCAATAGCTGATGTCAGACTTGTTTTCTCCGAGGCACTTTGGTATAGCTGCATTGGGTATAGGAAATACTTCTGAGACTTTTGTCTTCCTGCTAGGAAGGAGATTAAGACTTTATGGCCTGTTGTTGTGTTTTCTGAGTAGAAAGCAGCAGCTGTGGTAGAGCAGACAGTTCTGGAGACTTTTTCTGGAAACTCTGGTTCCCCATTGGTTTGTTGTGCCTGTAGGGAATCAACTTCTAATTGTAAATATCACTTACATTTTTACAGTTACAAGCTGAAAGCTATTTCTCTTTTACTGGCATAATCAAATTCTTGTAACAAGCCTTGGTGTGTGTGCACTGGTGCTAATTAGGTGGCTGTATCTGAGCCTCCTGGTGGCTCTCACCATCTTGTTAAAGTGTGATATGTCGTAACTTCTCAAAAAAGCAAGTGTGGTTTACAGAGCAGAGACGGTTTACAAGCTTCCATCTGTAGGAGTGAGCTGCCTTGTGAAGCTTGAGTAAAAGTAGCAGGAAACTTCTTTCAGACTGGCTTCACACTTCAGTAACAGGGTAGATACTGCACAAAGTTGAGAAGGAGAGTAGCCTATTGCTGCTAGCCTTTTAAATACAAAGGGATTTTGATAGTTGTTGTAACTGGGGACAATGTTGCTGCCTTGGTCACTGTCATGTGAAGAGGGTGACTGTGATCTCCTGGAAGTTCATAGCTCAACTTTCCTCTGAAGCTGTGCTGGTTTTCATTCTTGCTTTCTGTCTATCTCTGCTCATGAAGGTGTATTTACATACTGCAGATGAATTCATATGTGTAGGCAACTGATCGAGTCAGGAATCTGTCTGTAGGCAAGAGGTTTGATGCAGATGGATCAGCGTTGAAGTGGTTATGTCTGAATACACGAATCAATTCTAATGTCTGTGAGGAGACCTCTGTAGGTTTGTGTTCTCCCCTTGTAGCTGAGCTGCAGCCTTATCAGTGATAATCAATTTGCTTTTCTTCCCCTTACAGGGTAACTCGGGTAGCAGGTGTATCCAGATGGTGACAGTTCTACTGGGAACTGGCAACTATTTCTAGTTTGAAGAAAAAGTGAAATTGGTAAGACTTGCCTTGTCAGTTGCTGTTGTACTTGGGTTACCCATGTGACTGAGTAAAGTCCCACATGAAAAACCTGCTCCTTCAACATGGCTGGAATGTCCCTGTAATAACTGTAGCTAGCTATTGGAACCATATATTCAAGAGAAACTGGATCAGTTTAAGAATTTGATTTCAAGCTGGAAGGATATTGTGGATCTTTTAATTCTGTGGCCTGCTTCACTTCCTTTACTCTGAAGCCCTTGAAAGACCAGATGTTATTCTAGTCCTCCTTCAGCTGCAGAACTACTGTGGATTAAAAGAAATGCCGAACTCACTGGAACATAAAGTGGCTGCCTTACATACATGCAGGAGTTAGTACCAGTACTCTCATGGAGTTTCAAAATTCAGGCTGAGGAGCTAACACAGTAGTTCTTTCAAGTTTTTCTTGAGCCTGACTTGTACATCTGGGAAGAAACACACATCCAAAGCTGCTGATGGGCCTTTACAGCCTGGCTTTTCACTCAGCTTCTATTTGAGCTGGAGAGTCTTGGCCAAGATCCTGATAGTATTGACTGGCTGCAGATGGGTTTGACACCTGACACTGTTGCAATTCTACTGCAGCACAGATTAGGAAATATATCTCCTTCCCAACATCACCCAGTTTGTTTCTTGTTTAGAGCAGTACAAAATAAACTTCCTTTCATCTTAAAAGTTGCTAATCTGAGTCGATATGCTAGGATTTTTGTAGCAGTGTTAATTGACAAATTTAGTTTGTTAGCACAGTCTTAACATGGCAATTGATATTCATACCCAACAGTATATTGCAAAAAGCTTTAATACTGTTTTTGATTTCCAGGCTCAAAATGAGTGCGATGCTGGAAACCCCTGAGCTGCCGGCAGTGTTTGATGGTGTGAAGCTAGCAGCAGTTGCTGCTGTTCTCTATGTTATTGTCCGCTGCTTGAATTTAAAAAGCCCAACTGCCCCTCCTGAACTCATTTACCAGGACTCTGCTTTGGCCCGCTTTCTACTCAAATCCTGCCCACTTTTGACCAAAGAGTAAGTAGTATATTTTTTCCATGTTAACTTGCATTATAGGGAGAAGAGCTGCACTTAACTATTCTTCTACCTAGTGTTTCTTAAACCTGTGCGCAAATGAATGTCAGGGTATTTTCTTGATAAATAAGCCTGTTCCACATAAAGCATTTCGTTATTGTTAGTGTGCCAGGTACCTGGGTTTAGAATCAAGCCTTGTTGTCCAAGGCTCTCCATGGATGTATGGAAAAAGTCATCCCTGCCCCCCATACAGTAGCTGTATGCTGATATTGTATTATGCCAGCACTGTATAGCCTGCTGTCTGTGGAAATGAGGGAGGGATGGTCACAGTTATCACTTGTTCCTGTTCATGTGCTCCCCTTTCTATTAGGGGAGAAATCTGTTGGGGCTCACAGGAAGGAAATGTTTTTGTTGCGTCCATGCACTTACAGTGAACATAGGGATGGCTATTGGTTTTAAAGTGTCTACTCTTATTTGACGTGCCTTAAGTTGATTGAAGACTAATGAAATTTATTACTGACTAGAGCACATCATCATAACTATTTTAATAAAGTAGTAACATACTAGACAACTCTAAGCCTATTGAATCCACTTTCAAATTGACCTGATGTCAACTGTGTATGTAAGCAGGCTGATCCTTGCCCTTCCACTGTAGGACCTCCAGAATCAGTGCAGCTGCTCTTAACTTCACTAATAATATGAAGCATTTTCTGCAATTTCATGAGGCTTTGGAGGGACAAGGACTCTGATTACAGTATTTCTCTTCTGCAATCACTTTGAAAACTTTCAAGTCCTGTTTAGAAGCCCTAAATACACCAATTATCTAGTAAGCGCTGAGTGCAGCTGCATGAACCTTCCTTTTGGATCTCAAAAGTCAAGCTAACTTAATGATAGTCATTCTAGAGGAGATGAGAGGCTTTTAGCAGTGCTGTGTTAGGTGCCTTGATTACATAAGGTGTGAAATCTTAGGCCACAGGATCTGTAAACTCTTAGAGGAAACAAAGCATTATCAGTTTTAAATTGGAGCCCAAAGAAGGTTCCCTGATGCCCTCCGAGTTTGGTAGTAACATAAGTGTGTGTTGAAGCTGAGCATTGAAATTGGATTCTTGATTATGTCTAATGCCTTAACTGCAAAGCAGTTGCTTCCCTAAAAAATACACTAAGGAGGTTCTAGTTACTTGGTATCTTAGACACTTGTCATCTCAGTGTTGGCACTCCAGATTGACGTGTTCCTAGTCACTGGAAGAGCAAGCATGAAGCTGTGCTGCTAACTGGTCTTGAAGGCATATCAGTATCAGGCTAAGCTTTAGAAACAGATTGTAAGCTAGTTCAGAGTCCGTTTTACTCCTACTACAGCTCTGTTCTCATGGCACAAGCTCCTAGTGCTACTGTATTAGAGACATGTTTTTGACTTTCACTCAGTTGGAGAACAAAGCATTCCCAAAGGAGTGAAAGCACAGAACATGTCTAAAAATTGCAGTACATCTGTTGTGCATTAATTGCAGGAGTAAAGAGCTTCTAGCAGAATCCTAGTGTTGTGTTAATAGTATGTAATCTTGGGTGGTTTGCTTTCTCTGGATCAGTTCAGAGCTCAGGCTTGCTACCTTCTCTGAAAACAGTAGCAGTGATTTCCAATACATGGTTCTTGGGCAGAACATTGCCTCAAAGGCTTGTGTGAACCTAGGAAACAAACTCGGCTGAAATTAGAACAAAACATGTCAATAGGTGGTTATTCTGTCTGGTTTCCTGTATACCTATATTAGAGACAGGAGTATAATTGCCGTTGGGGATTAAAGGGCTTACAGGGAAGACAGCTCTCCAGGATGATGTATGTGTGATTTTTTTTTTTTGCTATTCTAGTGATGTTATCACAGACTTTTTTCAATACAGAAATTAGAAACAAATAATCAAAGAAATCCTGTCTTTAGGCATGAAAGTCACCTGGAGACTAAAGGGGAACAAATATATTTAAATTCCTGCAATTATGCCTGAAATAGTTTGTAGGGCTAATTAGCAAAAAGCTGTGTGAAAACAGCTTGTGCCATACTCCGCTGAAAAAATCTTGTAAGGCTTTGATTACTTGCAATTATTCAGAGTGTTAGGAAAGCTGATTAAGCAGCTCTTTTCAAATTCTACCATGAAAGCAAAATAAGTAGCCCAGCAATTCCTTCTGTTATCAGTACTGGGTTTGTTCAAAGATCTGTTGTAAGACCAGTTCAGTACAGCTGTGAACTGGCTTTCAGACCTGGTTTGTTCAATTCCCTTATGCTTAAGGGAGGAAGGGGGCAGGATACTGCTGGAAAAAACAGGGTCGCAGGGACAACACAGGAATAAACAGAGCTCTTGTATCTGTGCAGCTATTCAAAAATATTTGGAAAAAACATTTTTGGATTTTTTCCCCCTTCATGGCGGTATCCTCACCTATGGACTTATGCAATCATTGAACCATAGTGTCATTCAGTACATCAAGTAGTGGTGGATGAATTATTTAAGAGCTTTGGATAGTAAAACTCCCTGAGATGGCTGTGTGCCAGGTACCTTGTACTTGCAGATGTTAGTACTGCTTTTGGCAATTCTGTAAACTGCCAGAAGCTTTCTACATATCGATCAAATGCTGGTAAGCAACAGATTCTGTAGTCATAGAGCTCATGTTTTCTTACCTGTTTGTTTCCTTTCTTCTACCCTTGTCCAGCTCTGTACATCGGCTTTCCAAGTGGAGTAGTGTAATCAGACCCTTTTTCGTTCAAAGAACTGCTTCTTGCGTGGCAGCTCTTGCAAATCAGCACAGCCATTGGTGCCCTCGAGCATTTGGGCCTAACCCCTGGCTACAGCTGTCTCACTTTCCTGTCTTTCAAATTAGTACAGAAAATCTGCCATCTGCTCTCTTATTCCTGCAGAAATGCAGCATTGGCTCTCTGATTCATGAGAACAAATTTGGCCAGTACTGGCTGTACTGGACTAGACACTCTTTTTTGGCTGTTGCCAATTTCTTTTACCATCAAGTGCATGTGTGTATCTTTATTCCTGTAGAAGCATGGTGCAAGTGTCATCCTTATTGAAAATAATTATCCTTGCTGTCTGCACACTTTTATCATTAATAAAAACAAGCTCCTCAAAGAGTGGAGGCAAATGACTGTCAAGCCTGTTAGTAAACACTGTCAAAGATCCAGCCTAGATCCTTCTTATTCTTTGTTTGCACAGTAACCTATACTGGATAAGCAGACTGCCTGGTACCAGAAGACTGTTGCCCTGTCATTTCTTTTCTCTTAGATACAAGGAGACAAGTAGTCAGAAAAGCTGGCTTCAAGCTTTTCAATGTTCTTTTCTTCCATCTAATAGCAAACAGTGTTTGATTCCTGTCAACTCCTTAGTGTTTTACCCCGGGAAGGAACACTTCCAGGAGAATAATAAACTAGAAGAACAGTGTTACTGCTGAAGCTTTGGCAGGTGAACATGTTGAGAGGTAGAGAAGAATGGCAGCTTCCTATTGGTAAGTTGAAGCATTGACCTTGGGGAGACAGTCGGCCTCAGGATCTTAGTCCTTGCTAGGTGCTCTGCTGTGGCATTGACAGCAACCTCGTGTTCTCTAGCTCTCATCAGCAAGGAAGACGTGCTATAATACTCGTGCTCTGTTTTGACTAGAATACTTTTTGTAGCCATTGGAGGTTGAGGAGGGGTGTGATAGACACTTTACTAAATAAAAGGTGCCTAAATTGGGAGGGAGGTGGTTTAACCAAGGAGGCCAGTCTGTACTTTCAGGTGGTTGTGACTTCATACAGTTTCTATGGTCAGTAAACACTTCTACTCCACTTATTGGTTTGTTTCAGAGGCTTAGGGGATGTGGAAGCTCCATAAGTGGCTTTAAATTTTTTGCTGCTACATATTCGCTGTGTCTTTATCACAGCTGAGCTGTGATGCAGAAAAAGATACTTTCTATGTATTTGGAGGGGAAGGAGTTGAACTCTACAGAGTTTTAGATGAGCTTTCTCAATTGGCATTCAAATTGCATTCCCTAGCATCAGATAAGGGACAAGTTTCAAACAAGATTTGATTTGTAAAGCATCATTTAAATACCCCAAACTGCTCTGTAAAGGAAAAAAAAAACTGTCACCTGTTGTAAAATACCCTGACACAGACAAATTGTAGGCTCTGCTTTTTTGCCATCAGCATCCAATATACTACAGCACATCAGAGGTGATGTAGGAGTTAATGTTTAAAGTGTTAATCTCCTCAGATGAAATGAAGTAGTTCTCCAGAAGTAAGCCTGTTGCTGAACTTCCACTTCAGATCTTTGAGGACCTGAATGCTGATGCTTGCTAATAAAAATAGCACACTTTTTATGTGCTTTGTGTGAGCTGCTTATACAGCTGCTGCTTTCCTAAATTCCTGCATGCTGGGTGATGTATGTGCTCTAAAATCATAATCTGCCTAAGAGCCACTAAAACTTAATCTGCAATCACATGTTGGCATTGGTTTTGATAGTAAAACGCTAGGAGAATGTTTGTGAAACACCTAGAAATTCTCTTGCTCTTGGGCACTGTTGTGGACAGCCACCTATCAAGATGTAGGACTGTGCTGCACAGCTGAAACACAGTGTTTGGAGCTAAAACACTAGCATTTGTGAGCAGATTTATGTAACTGGCTGTGAATTCACTTAGCCAGTTAAGACTGATGAACTCTGTACTTGCTGTGCCATATAAGTCAGCTTCCATAATAAGTAACTGGCATCCCCAGACCTGTTCTCCTGTCTGCCTTCTGTTGCAGAATCCTGTTACTGGAAGTTGCAGGACTGACTACTGGAAGCCTTAACTAACTGCCTCAAATATTTGTGTTTTACTCAGTGTCTGATATCTATTGCAGCTGACCAAATCAAAACAGGAAAATGAGTCAGTTAAAAGCCTTTGGGTCTGGAGCAAACTGGGATGGGAAGCTGTTTGTTGTTGGTTTTATTTTTCCACAGAAAATGAGATTTTTTTTTTATTTGTTTCCAGTACAACACAACTTTGCCTTTGGATCTCCCGTATTATCAGTACTTGCTTGTCTGTGCTATTGTGGTACATCATCCTTGTCCTTGTGTGGGCATGTGTATACCTCTTTGGCAAGAGGTCTTCCTGACTGGTGTTCACCAGCCAGCTGGCTGCTCAGCTGTTGTCTGTAAAAGGCTGTTGTAGAACAGTTGAGATGGTGCCTGTAGACATGATGTCCATGCCTGGGCTCTGCATACCTGTGAGCAGCTTTGCTGGAACAGGGCACACTGAGGGATACACTGTGAATTATCTCCATATAGTGAAATTTGCTGTACTGAGATCATCTCTACTGTACACTGCTTTTCAAAACTGCTTTGATTTATATCAGGCGTTTTAGAGAAGTTGAAGTCTGTCATGTCCTTCAGCACTTTCTCTGTTTCTAATTCACATCAAAGCCAGTGGGAAGCCACCTGCTTTTATGAGTGAGGGACCCTTGTTTGGAAGACATGGTTAAATTTAGCAGTAATGATGGTTTTACCATAAAATCTAAAGGGCAATGCTTGAATGCTCCTTAAACTGGATAGTACTTAGTTGCTCAGTCTGCGTGGCATCTAGCTTGTGTTTCCATGTGTCACGCCTTGCTGAACTTGTTTTAAGGTAAGCCATAAGTAAAATACCCTGTGTACATGCCTGTCTGTCTACAGGATGATTGTTTTGAGGAGCATCTCTTTTCAGCTGTTTGCCATGAGGGATGTTGGCTTCATTGCAAAACAATCTGTGCTAGCTATTGCCATCAGCACTGAATAGTTAAGTTTTTTCAGCTGTGTTGAGTATGAAAATGCCTCTGGAACTGTTTTTTGCATAGTAGGTTTAAATAAAATACAGCTTACCTGAACTTTCGGAGAGTGAAGACTCTTGCACAATTCCTGGCAAGCTTTTTTCCCTCACCAGTGTGGTATCATGTGTCTTCATGACTGAAGAGTCCTTTCTATGCTCACCTCTTGGAATGGTTTTAGTAAAAGCAAACTGAAAGTCCACACAAACCCGGGATAAAAAGATGTCTTGTCCTTCAATCCTGTACAGTCTTGCACTATTATGCTCAGTACTTGGTCTGGGAAGTTCTTGTAGATTTGTCCCACTGAAAGATGTAGATAGAAGTCACTTACCGGAAGTCTTTCAAAGCCAGATTTATCTATTGCCAAAATGGAGGGTCAACAGAAACAGTCTGACAGGCAGATCATGTGCCTGATTCTCCTATAGATTATAAGGATGCTTTGCAAAGTCAAACTTGGCCCTCAGCTGAGAACAGCTTTTACTGGAATGCAGTGATAGAGACATTGCTTTGTTACTGTCAGGGCTTTATAGGGTTTTGTAGTGGGTTAGGTCAGCAACTTGTCCTGGTAAATTAAAGTCTAATATTTTTAATAGCTGCTTGTGTTTACATTGATCTGGTGAGGTGAGTTTTAATGTCTTAGTTTTTCACTGATTATGCAAGATCTATACCAACTGGACAACTTTTTCCCCCTCCCTGTTGAAGTCTTGCCATGTTGAGTCTCCTGGAGCCTGGATACTTAAGGGATTTTAGGATATCTATCTCACCACAAGCCTATTGCTTAAAGGCTGATGGGAAGTAGTAAAAGCTAGGTGAGATAAGCTGCTGCTCTAACACTTGTATGTATCTCAGAGCTTTAACTGCTTTATTTTTAAGTGCAAACTACAGAAATATCCTTAGCATGCTTAAGTATGACTAAGTGGGAGTAACAAATCTCTGCATCAGAGTACTGTCTTAAGCGCATTACTCATGCTGGAACTTGACCTTTGAATATTTATCTAGAAGTGTGTAGTTACATGTAGAGTGACTAACGCAGCACATCTTTGCTGCAGGCAGTGTGATGCTTAAACAACTGACTGGCGTTAACATAAAAGATAAGCGAGCATTTTGCTTGCTTGGTCTATAGGATGTGGAAAAGCTCTAGCTTGTGCACTCTGAAGGGAGCAAGCAGTGCATGCACCTTTGTCTATAGGTCTTCACACCATTTTAGCTCTGAGGGAAATGTGGAACCCATAGGTATTGTTTGTCCATCCTTATGGCTGGAGTCACAGAGATTTGTCCCTTGGTTTTAGTCTTTCCTTTAATGAAGAACATGTCAATGAAACTGCGTGTGCTGTTTGCCCATGTAAAGGTGGTGGTTAGGTTTGACTTACTGAAGATGGGTACTTTGGGTAACTTCCAGCTGGGTTATTCAAAGGCAGGTTTGGGTTGTGTTTTTTTCCCCCCAAAGAAACCAGCTGTGACCTGAGGAGGCAGGCTGTGGTAAGTAGTATGCTCTTGTTAAGCAGTATGCTTGAAGCCATTTGTCTTCGTTTAAACTCTGGCAATAGTGGTGAGGCTTTCAAGACTCTTCTAATTTCCTCTCCAACAACATCCTGTGGTATGTGCTGCTGCAGCTGCTGCATCTGTTCCACTGGATGACTAACTTATAGATGGAAACTGAACTGCAGATAAACATGAGGAAAGGATTGATGCTTGCAGAGATCCTTGATTTTTTTTTTTTCTCCATCAAGTTGGTAGCAGTAATCACACAACTGTATAACTTAGCTACTGTAACTGGAGAAATTGCTTTCCTCTTAGCCCTATGGGGTAAGACTTTGGGTTTTACCTAGGATGATATTTGATTTGAAAAGCACTGTATAGAAGCAGAATCACCAAAACTTTCCAATGCATGTGCTTAACCTAAGATTAGAAACCATGCAACAATGGTGACGTCTGAGTCTCTTCTCAAAGAGCTGCAAATTCTTATTATAGGTTGTATTTAACAGCTCTCCTCAAAAGCTGCTAGCAAAACCCATGTGCAAAGGACTTCTGTGAAAGAAGACAAAAAGCCAGTCAAGCACCATCTAGTGTGGGGTATGACAATTGACCTGAACTGCTTGTGAAGTTACTGACTGGGGGGCAGCTAACTTTTTCATATGCTAGAAGAGCAGTGTCTCTTCTATCTGGCATCATTGTTGCTGTTCAAAACCCTCTGCAGTGAGCTGTATGTGACTTGAGCAGAACCATCTGTCACTGTTCTTGTGCAGCCTTGTGTACACTGACTGCACTATCCAATGGATATCTGCTTTGAATTGTGAGGATGTATCCACTGACTCCTTTTCTGCCAGCAGTTGCAGAGGATGAGCTCTTCCAGTCCCTGTCATTGCTGGGAGTCTCTGCACGGCTGACATTCTGCACATTGCACCTGGCAAGACACATGTGCAGTGCGTATCCCCCGGTGCAGAGATGCTGGGCTGATAAAAGATAGATAGTGCTACTAGCCTCACATAGATTCTTTGAAAAGCTTGGTAGTTGAATGATCAAATCAAAGATGCACTGGGGGCTAATTTACAAGGTTATAAGCATCAGTTGGCAGCTTTTGCAGCCTTTATTGAAGCAGTATCTACTTCTACAGGAATCTATTTTGGGTCTCTTTGGGAAGTGCGCTTGCAAAAACTGAGTGAAACTGTACAATGAACTGCTGTGCTGCTTTGACTGAGAGAAGTCCCCCTCATAGATGAGTGAAGAGAACAAGGAGAAAGCATACTGCTGCTCTTGTCTTGTTAAACAAGCCTAGATAGTTCTTATTTTTATAGGAAGTCTTTTCTGAGGAGTGTGTAGGGAGAACAGGGAGTTGTGGATATGATGCATAAGAGCTGGCATGGGGAAGAAAGTCTAGCTGTGTGAGTAGGTAGTGTCAGAGTACAAAGGCAAGGTTTCTGTCACATTCTAGTGGATTATGAGCTTAAGTAGTAAATCTAAGTCCTGAGCTGCCTAGTTTTCTGTGAATGGGTACAAACATGATCTCTGCTTCACGTGCTCTCAAGAAGTCGAAGGCAGTAATTGCAGGAAGCCTTAAAAAACACAACAGGGAGGGAGTTGCTAATCTCTCAGGATCCAAGGTGGTGTCAGCAGCTCTCACGCTGCTTCTGGATACCCTGCTCTGTGTAGCTTAATGGGAAGCATGTCCTCTGGGACTGCTGTTCTCCTAAGCAATAAATCATTTGTGCTGTCCTGTTGAGAACTGATGAAACTATCTTTTTCAAGACATGGGCTCAGTCTCTCCTTTGCGGAGCGGCCAGGTGACTGCCCTACCACCACCACGTGGGCAATGGTATGTTTCCTGTTAAACCACTCGCAGCTCTGCTTGTACTAAAAAAACCACCCTGATAACTAAGCCTTTAATGCCTTCTACCTGATGGTTGTGTTCACTCATATCTTTTTGAGGGCCAGTGGGCCAGGAAAAGAAAGATCATCTGCTTTGTTGCCTAGCTTTAATATGCCCTTGATAGACTCCCTGCTCTTATGTTAAAAGTGATTTATTATTTCAGTAGAACTGGGCTAATTCTGACAGGCCCTTTTAACTAACTCTGCCTGAGAGACCACTCTGTACCACGCTCTTCAGTGAACTTAGAAAAGCAGTTCTGTGTAAAATTGTCCCAACCAGCAAGTCTTCGGGCTTTTGGTCTTCTAGAACTTGCTATGGATCCTGTTGTTTCTACCACTGGCTGGTACAGTCCAGTGCTTACACAAGTTTGTGTGGTTCAACCCAGCAGGTTTCACTACTTAAAACAGATTTACAATGCTTTAGGGGTTCTGGAGGTCAGTTTGGTTGGCTAGCAACATGCTGTCCTGATCTCACTGAGGCACAAGGCCCCTGTGTATTTGGTGAGAAGCATGTGTGCATGTAACATTTAAATATAGAGGAATGTCTGGGTTTTGGCTGCTGCTATCAGTGCTGATTTCTCAGCTTTGAGACTGTATCAGCCTCTCCTCTTGCGTAAGGCTGCAAAGATCAGTGCTGCCAGTTCAGTCATAGCAAAAACAATTTCCTATTTTTTACTATACTTGGTATCAAGGGGGAGATTTGTTACGGGAGTGCTTATCTATTCTCAAAGGCTCGTTAAAACAGCAAGTAAAAGCAATTAAATTACTGCCTCTTTCAGATACGTTCCACCCTTGATCTGGGGAAAGAGTGGACATATCCAGACTGCCCTTTATGGAAAAATGGGGAGAGTGAGATCACCACATCCGTACGGACTTCGCAAGTACCTCACGATGCCAGATGGAGCAACAGCCACCTTTGATCTCTTTGAGCCGCAGTCTGAGCACTGCATTGGAGGTCAGTTAAACAGCTGCTGGCAGCATCTAGCTGCTAACCTTGAGTCTGCTCTGGGGGATGGATGAGGACACTGCTGCCTGATTTACAAGAAAGGATAGATGTTAATTCTGGTGATGGAAGGAGGCTGCCAAGCAATAGTAACCAATGTGCGGAGGCTGTAAGTCCATCTTGCTATATACCTATATCTCAGACAGCCAGAGACACCCTACTAGACTAATTAACTGTTGTGGCAAGGTGTGGGGAGTTTAAGGAATAGAAGAAATGTTCCATAAGCTGGACCTCGAGAGGCTGGCAAAGAGAATCTGGTAGTAAGCCTTGTTTGGAGTGCCCTTTGCCTGTTAAGGCTGTGGGATCATAGAGGCTAGCTGCATGAGGTTCTTCATAGCCTGGTGAGTATGGAAAAAAACCTAGACTTTATCTCCCTGTTAGAAACAGATTCTTGATAGTTTTTACTATCAACAGGTGTTTAAAGATCTGCATGAAAACAAACTCTACGTGCACAGGGTATGAAGGAGTCCAGACATGAAGAGAACTCCATGGAAAAACTAGAAAATCATGGTGATTCCTTACAATGTTATATATATATCCAGAGTGAGTTCAGCTTTCAAACTCACTGTTACTACTAGTAACAGCAATGCTTAAAACTGAATTACTGTGGCTTGACTTCAGAAGTACAATTGACCCCTGCAGCTGATGTCATTGTAAGCCTGTGACTCCTGTTCGGCCTTCACAAAAAGCAGAGTTCTGTTCTTAACTGTCAGTGTTGAGATCCTCATGGCAGAATGCTGCACTAGAACAGTTCCTGTTATCTTTATCACTGAAGAGAATCTGAGCAGTGCTTTCCTAATGAGGCAAAAATTTAGTGCCTAGAGTTCCTAATGTGGGAGCTTTGCACATAAGAGTCTGATAGCTAATTTGAAGCACATATGCTAATCCTGAATGTAATTTACTGTGCTTACTTGAATTACAACAATTACTTTCTTAGTTGATGAAATGGTATCTTGTTAAACTAGTGAACAATGTCAACAGATCAAATATTAGATTAGCCACAAAGCAGATGATGGCTAGTGTCAGCTCATCAGAATGTCTTTGCTTAGTGAAGCTTCATTTTGAAGATCTATGCTACATTGAACTCTGGAAGGGAAACGAGGGAAAAATAGTGCAGCCAGTCTACTTGGTGCATCAATAAACAGTGGGCTCCAGAGCTTACACACACTTAGCAATCACAACAGGCTGTCAGAAGACAGAACATGTGTAATGTCAAAAACATCCTTCAAAGGAAAGAATTTACTCTTGGTCTCTAGGCAGTGCCTGTAGAACTGTTTGGGCAGCTTTCCCTGAAGTTAGAAAACTGTTCATCTCCTGTAACATGAATTACTTTTTCACATCTGTAGCACTAGAGCTGCTAGTCTGTCCCATACTGGATTTTTGGCAGACTAGTAGGATTTTCAGCTTGCTTCTGGTAGATGGTTTCCCACGGATCTGAAATGGAAACCTTCTGAATCTCTCAATTTGCATGAAGTGACATTTACTTAACTTCCCTCTCTTTCTGTGCACAGAGGATGTCACAATGGTAATCTGCCCTGGCATCGCTAACCACAGTGAAAAGCAGTACATCCGCACTTTTGTTGACTATGCGCAAAAAAATGGGTACAGATGTGCTGTCCTGAATCACTTGGGAGCCTTACCAAATATTGAGCTCACTTCTCCACGAATGTTCACCTACGGTAGGTACTTTATGGCAGCTGGGGACTTATTTTCAAGCTTGTGGAATTTCTAGGGCTTGATCAGCCTCCTTCAACAGAACACAAGTGCCGTATCTGAGTGAAGATAACTTTGTAATGTTTCTTAGGAACTAAATTGAACTTGCATGTGAGAAAGAAGGGAGGCTAGTAGTGGGATTTACCTTTCCTCGTCTCTTCTTGCAGGTCTTAAACATGCATCATCCTAGTCAAGGAGGCAGTCTTTTGGAAAGGAAACTTTTTTGGGGAAAAAAGCTCTTGTGGCTACTAAGAGCTTGCTCAAATGATTTTAGAGATGTTGAAATGTCAGTTTAGTGGAATGTGAAGCAAACATGGCTCCGAAGGATAAACACTACTTCTGAGCCTTTGTAAAATGTAACATGAGAGGATTTTGTTCCAGCCTATCCAGAAAGTACATATCTGTCCTTGGAGGGACACATGAGGCTTGTTCCCTGGATATAACACAAATGTCAAGGAACAGCAACAATTCTGCAGTGTGCCAATAAAGCTACAGAAATGTTAGTGCTTAACTGCCGTGATTTTGGGCTTTCACCTTGAGTATAAGGGAATCTTTATTAACCTGGAAGTTAAAAGGAACAAAGATTTGTAACTGTTAAGGGTGACTCCAGCTATTCTTAACTGCCCTGCTAGTGAGCGATGTGATCTTTGTAGAATGTGGCCTTCTTGCCTGCAACCTGATCTGCTTGTTCCTGAGCTCTCTTGAGCCCTTCGTGTCCCTCTTTACTGCAAACATCTATAGGTACACTATGTCAGGAGTCGACTGAGTTTAGCAGGCTGGTGTTAGGTTTCTTTTTCTTTTTTAAAGATAACTAAGATACTACTAAGAGTTTGGATTAACAGTTTGAATGTCTATCTTGAACAGTTGAATTGCCAAAATAGAAATATTGTGCTTTGAGATTCTGAGTCTGGCAGGCAAAGAGACTGTAATGCTTTGTTGCTTGTTTTAGAGTTATTAAATCTCTTCCTTAGTGAAAAACACTTCAGGAATACAAAATACCTCATTTTGTATTGAGGCCCTAGACTGTTAGTGGCTTCAAGCCTACCATGTCTTGGGAACTAAACTTGGCCTCTGTAAAGTGTGTGCTTTTTTGATAAAAGTTGAGAGCTTTCTACCATGGAGGCTTGTTTTTGACCTATTCTGTAGCGTATCTTTTGAGACATACCTTTCCAAGTCTTTTATAGCCTTGGAAAGGGTGAGGAATGCCTAGCCTTCCTTTGAGTAAGACAGTAAATCACTTGGCAGAGTTGCTTAAGTGGAGTGCCAGCAAGACCATGAGCAGACTTTACTCTGCCTCCAACCCAAATATCCTACTGTCCTTCCAGCTTTTGCTGGATTCCTGATATATTTATTGAGGAGCAAGTAGCCTAAACTTGGGATTCACTGAATTCTCCAGCCTTTACATCAAGCTTGACCTGTTGCTATTCTGGTTTCGGATTTCTGAAATAGTTACCAGCTGCCCTCAAATCATGAAGGTCAAACACTAAAGTATTTTGACTGCTGGCTTCTTCCAGAGGAAACCAGAGCAGTGCAGCATTTGTCATCTTGAGGAAAATTGCACATTAAGAATGTTGACAAGGAAGTGCCTAAGCCCTGCTGAAACACTCAGCCAGAAGGCTACTGTTTCGCTGAAGTAAACAAATGCTGCTGCTCAGTCTGCTCCAGAGCTCACTAAAACCTGAGTATGATGTCTGGCAAGGATGGGGTTGAGGCGGGGGCACACTGGAACAGTGTTAGGTTGGCACAGGGTAGAATCCTAACTCTTAGGATTTATCTCCCTGGATAAGTTCTGCAACATAGAGCTGAGTTTCTGACTCTAGACAGGAATAAACTGCTGGAGTTTGATTTCTGTTCTTCATAAGATGCCTCCTGTGTGGCTTGCAGTCTTGTATCCAATGAGAAGGTTAACAAAGTGCATAGGCAGTTGATGCCAGTGTACTAATGCCATCAGTTTTGCAGCTGATTCTCTTCATGCTTTCTTTTTCCAATCTCAAAGGCAGGAGAAATAGCTGTAGTTACTCAGATGTTGTATGTGTGGAGGCCTTTAAGTCTGTCAGCCTGAGGACCTCAGTACTGCCAGAAGCTGGACCCTATAGGATGCAAGTGGGTGTTAGCTGAGAGCAGACAAGATCTGTGTAGAGGGACTTACCTCCTCTCTTGAGGGTATATGTTCAAGACCCATATGTCTTCTAGGAAGCTGTGGTATCTTTGCCTCTTCAATGATTAAAAAGTTGGCTGCATTGGTTTAAAGCCTTCCCTCTGATTCCAGAGGGCACCTGCTTGCTCTGGCTTTGCAACAGTCCACTGAGAGCTCTGTCCTGACAAGCCAACTCTGCATTTCCATCCCCTCCCTGCATCAGCATGGATTTAAGGGTCCATGGCAGCCTTGCTAAAAGCGAAGGAGCTAGTTGCTTTCCAGGCCACCCACTTAAGTTCAGAAGCATCAAACTGACTTAGAAAGGTAATGATGTGCACTGTTCTTGGATAGTAATGTTCAAGCCCAGAGTTGGACTGTACTTTTTTTAAGCTGCTTTAGAAAGAAAGTTTCGATTTGTCAGATCAGCTGTTGCCATGATTTTTAAGCAAGTTAATTTCATCTTGCTTTGGCACTCCGTCAGAACTAAGCATGAGCTAAGGTCCACAGGGCTCATAAAACAGATACATGAACACATGTGTGAATCAGCTTTTAAAACCTTAAGGTTATTGGAAAGTCAGGCACAACTGAAGCTTGAAGTGGGAATCTAGGTATGTTAAAAGGTGATTCTTGACTCTGTCCTTATTTTTAGGTTGCACCTGGGAATTTGGTGCCATGGTTAATTACATCAAGAAGACCTATCCTCAGACCCAGCTGGTTGTGGTGGGCTTCAGCCTGGGTGGAAACATTGTGTGCAAATACTTGGGAGAGAGCCAGGCCAACCAGGAGCGAGTCCTGTGCTGCGTCAGCGTGTGCCAAGGTTACAGTGCCCTGAGGTAGGTCTGGAGGCTTCTCCATGCTGGTCTCTTCTGCGGGTGTAGGAGGGGGCAAATCTTTGGCAGGGTGCATGTGGAAGGGCGAGGTGAAGAGTGTGGGTTTTTTGCATTGAACTGGTCTGACAGACTGCAGTGTGCAGGGTGCCACCCTCCCGAAGGAGCAGCCAAAGCTTCGTTGATTTGGCAGCACAAATAAGCTTTCTGTTAACAGTGCAAATAAGTTTTCTGTACCTGGCCAGGTATCTGCTGGCAGCTTCTGGTCTGTGCGTGAGAGCTGGCCCAACTGTCTCATTAGCTACAGTGTCCTGAGAGGAGGCATTCTCTGTGCAGTCCATATGTAATTAGTGAGGCAGGCTGGGCAGCATCACAAACTGCTGAGATGATACCAGATTTGCAAGCAATAGATTACACTTTCTCATCGCTCTGAGGTGTCTCTTGGTTCATAATAGCTTGTCTGGCTTCAGTGTGCAGTTTCATCTGGCAGCTCTTACCTGGGGAGCCTGGGAAGAGACAGCTCATACTGTCAGTCCATGCTCCCCTCTTAGTGTGTGTCACTGAAAAGGTGCTGCGGGCTAATGAGGAGATGAAAAGGCACTTGCAACTATGGTATACAACTTGGAAGGTCTGGAGCAGAAGGCTTACAGCCCTAAAGTCTGCCTAAAATGTTGGCCTGTGGTTCCCCACCTGGAAGCCAGGCTATAGCACTTCACAGGTGCTGTAATGGCTCCACCTAGTGCTTACACTTCCATCTACTGATGGAGGATCAGGGTACAGCACTGCTGCTTGAAAACTGGTGGTTCAACTAATGTGCTGTAACTTTCCAGGTGTGCACAGTTAATGAGGATTAAAACAGTGTAACTGGCTAAGCTACTACTTTTGTTTTTTATTGTCTGTACGTATGGACAACTACTAAGGTATAGCTGACTTGACAAGTAATTTAACTGCATTTTTGAGCCCTGAGAGTGTTTGAAAGGCAAAAGGGGTGTTGAGACTAGGGTGTTTGGGTCCAGATCCTTTGGGCAGATAAAAATGGTGAAACTATGGCAGCCTCATGAGAGGCTGGCCATGGAATTTGGTCTCTGAGCCTGGTGAAGGTAGGTGGAACTCTTGATGATGCTGATGTTCTGCCTATACAGGGACCAGTTTGATATACAGCAGTCTGAAGACACCTTTTATGAGTTAAGCTCTTACAGGTGAAAGAATCTTTTCTGGAAGCATAAAGATGTGACTAGAAGCTCAATATGCACTGTAGTAATATTCCAGCATACCTAATCCTTTTTGAGATCTGATGTGACCACTGCTAAAAGAGTGCACAATCTACTGCTAGGTCACCATGAGTTCACACTCTTAAAATTTGAACAGGTGCTTTCAGGAACAATTTTTCTATTTGTTTTAAGTAAAATATTCTTGGTTGTCTTGGTTCTGGCATGGAGCACAGAGCATCCTTTTGAAGTCAGGTCCTCAATTGCAGCCATCAGACAGGGTTTGCAAAGATCATATCTGGTTGCGGTCTACTTGGTTCATCTTCTGCGATTATGCAATATCGTATTTCTGGTCTTGAAAATGATATTGTGAGTAATGTCATTCCCTAAGCCGATTTCTGTAGTAGTATGTCATGATATGCTGGTAGAATAGCAGGGCAAGGGCAGCCTGTTCAACAATACTGCACTTGGATGTTTGTATGGGTGAGTAACTGCTGCTTGTCTGACTGTAAGGCAAGTCTGCAGTGGGTTGTGTGGATTATTGAGCTCTTGACTCCACCTGCTGGGTAAACGTCTACCAGCAAGTCTCCAGTCACAAAACATCTGCTATGTGTTACTGGACAATCAGCAGGACTTGTCTCCCTACCTAATATCTACTTCTACTTTAGATGCTAATTAGCTGAACAGCTGGAGGAAAGCAACATCAGTAAATATCTACTAAGTAAAAAGACAGGATAGGGAGGGCCTTGTGCCCTGGTTATACGAGTGGGAGGGAGGAGGTACAGAGCACCTCCAGGTGGAATGGTTAAGTCTTAGATTTCCTGGGCTTGATCTGGTAGGTTAAAACAACTGGCCTTGTCCCTCTGGGCTACATGATAGTGGATTACCCAGGTAGGCATGACCAGTTAGTTTACAATTCAATTTTCTTTTTTATTAGCTTGTTCAGCCTTTATCCCCCAAACAACTTGAGGAAGTGAAGGGAAAAAGTGGTGATGAGCGAGGTGAAACAAGGATCTGAAATAGGAAAGCCTTTCCAGAGCATTAAGCATGAATCCCACAGATGGGCATAACAAAGTAGCAGCAATACTAGGATCTGCCAGAAGAATGTGAGGCTCTTAGTTTAATGAATTAATACAGAATCTGAGGAATTTGATCCCTTAGGCTAAATGGGAACGTGTCTCCTTATTCCTTAATCTCTGCCTGCACAGGCTTGATTCTGCTTCTTGATCTTGTGGAATGCATCTTCACCCTAGCTACAAGCTGTGGGGAGAGTCCTCAGATTTGAAACCTGTGCAGTCCTCAGAATACCAGGAGGTGCCTTTTTGGTGCTTGTGGCTCTTCATATTAGGAGTACTACTGTCCACCACAAGAATTGCAGGGGAATGTAGTAATTTTAAGTTATTATAAGATGTTTGAAGTTAAAATTTGCTTGGAAACTCTTTTGTGTAGAAAGAAATGTGCATCTTCCTGCCTTCCTTCATTTCCCTGCCCTGGCATAAACATGGTTTGTATAGTCTGGCTAGACGAAAAGATAAAGTTTTTCTAAAAAAAAAAATAAAATTCCATACTTCAGCATGACTTACAAGAACACATAGCTTGCTTCTGGTCTGGTGGGGGACTTGCAGATTGTGGCTTGGGAGGTCATGCTAAATCCCCTGTAGTTCTCATGGTGTGTTAATGTTTAAATGGCAGGAGTACTTCAGTAGCTGAAACTGCTCCCAGCATTCTTGGGTTGCTCAGTAAATGATAGCGTGTTTCCTCAGTAACAGCAAACCCTGTGAAGAGTAAAGTTGTAACCTGCCCATGACCCTGCATAGCAAAGGAGCACTGGTATCTGGCAGAGCTCACAAAAGTCTGGATGACTTTAATTTTGTTTTAACAACAGATAAGCTGTGAAGTGCTATTCTGCTTTGAGAAGAGGTAAAGACTTCAACTCAGATGCCACTTGCAGCTGCAACTAGCATTTATTGTTACAGCTCCTGCCAATGAAGCTAAAACAATAACAGTGTCTGTACATATTGGAAACATCTGCACAAATTACTTCCTCTGCAAAGCTAATATACACAATAGACAAAACTCTGTTCAGCAACAGGTTTTCGTCCTTTCTTTGGTAGTCCTGTTAGGTAAATTACATTAAGCTTATGCAAAGGGATACCAAAATCCTCTTGTCAGTGTTGCAGATCTTGATTGATGGCTCTTAAATGCTCTGATCAAAACAGCTGATTATGGTGTGCAAAATGAGACTGCAGATCTGTTTTCTGATATTACCAAACTTTTATCAAAGTGCAAGTCACTTCCTGTAAAAGGTTAAGCCATGGCAGGGAAGGCCTGGAGATTTGTGTACATAGCCTTTAGGCTGCCATAAGATGTTACAGTGTATTAATCTGATCTTTCAAGATCTCCATTAACAGCTTTGCTTATTCTGCACTGTGTTTTTTCTAGGGCACAGGAAACCTTCATGCAGTGGGATCAATGTAGAAGATTTTATAACTTCCTCATGGCAGACAACATGAAGAAGATCATCCTTTCTCACAGGTACTGCAGTACATCACATATACAGATAGTATTGATTGGGTCAGTTGCTATATTGGATTTGTTTTCTCAGTGCTTTAAAATAGGACTTCTGAAAGATCATGTACCAGTTCCTTGCTTGGTAGTCTTTAACGAACCAACAGAAAAAGGGAGCCCATGTCAATCTCATTCATATACTATAAAATACACAGATAAGTTGTGGTGATCTTGTTAGAAGAAAGCAGAGCTTTTGTTGTCTTTTTGCCTTCTGAGGAGACTTAATGAGTAAACAAGATGTGCACAGGAGAACATTGCAATGAGACTTCAATGTGAAGTATTCTGCATCTGTTTCACTTCTAGCCAAAGAATTCCCTATTCAAGGAGCCTCTTGTTCTGCCAGCTACCTGAGGTCAGATTAATCTTCAACATCTGCTATATGAGGTTGCTGCTTATCAAATAAGCAAATAGTCAAACTGTAGCTCTGGCTTGTAGCTGTTCCTCTATAAAGAACATGTAGCTAGCAAAATACTTAGTGTTGCCCTTCCTGGAGTGCAAGTGTACTTGTAGGATCCCTGTGCTGCTGTTGTGATCTGTGCCTCTTGCATATCAGAGGGGCGTGTGTGTTAAACAGCTGCCATCCTCAATGCTGTTTCCTCCATCAGGAGTTCTCTGAGTGTTTCTTTCTAGGGCAATAAATGTGTAAGTACCTCATCTGTGTATATTTGAAGTTGCCTGGCTTGAGAAAAGGGGGGGAGAATATTGAAGACCCATCCCAATTAAAAGCATATGTCACTTGCAAACTTTTGGTTCGTTGTTTATACTTCTGTGTAGTATGAAACACTTGTAGAAGGAATTAGCGCAGCTGATGTGTAGGATGACCCACATAATTCATTCCAGATTGATAAATGTTTAGACAACTTGGCCAAATCTAACATGTGAAGTTAGGTAAGCCCCCATTAAAAGGTACTTAAATTTGTAACCGAGGAAAAACCCAGTGCTGGCTTGAAGGCAAGTCTGTTAAGTAAACTTTTTTACATAATCACTGGAGCTCTAAGACAACTCCCCCATATCAAACCTAGCCTCCCTCCTACTCTGCCACTGCCTCTGAAGGGAATAAAAACCCCTTTCCAACTTTTGGCTTCTGTTCTGTTTGTTAGGGGAGCAGTTTGTTCTGGTAAAGAAACATATCCTCTCCTGAGAGCAACTAATTATGACAAGTGTCCATAGTAAATAGCTTTCTGCTGAGGTAATGTCCCATGTAACTTCTGCTGTGTGAGCTGAGACTTTAGGACCAGATGGTGAAGGAGACACTGTGCCCAGGACTGCTAGTGCTCTTACCCAGGCCACTCATGGGTTTGGTCTGAAGCCAAAGGACCCTCCTTCTAACCCAGTCTCTGTTCCAAGTACCTTTAGTGCTGTCTGGGAATATTCTTTTTAGAGGCTACTCATACAGTTTTTCAGTATAACAAGGAAGCATTTTTTTCTATAAAGAGGCTGCTAGGGTTTCTGTTATGCCTTGCTGCAAAGAGAGGTGGACAAATAAGCTGTGTTTGTTCCTAAGAAAGCCTCATGTCTACAGAGCCCACTTCTATGCTTATCTTGTCAGACTTGGTTAACTTAGTTGTCCTTGAACAGGTCATGGCTTTGCTGCCCTTGTTATGTTATTTGGATGTTTTTCTTGATGTTGCTCTTTCAGGCAAGTTCTTTTTGGAGATAACATGAAGAAGCCACAAAGCCTGTCAGATGCTGATCTGAGCAAACTCTATACAGCAACATCCCTTATGCAGATTGATGATAACGTTATGAGGTATGAAGGATGATTCTCTGATCCTGATATAGATCTCAGTACCTTCTCTTTCAAGTGTTGCTCTTGCATGCCCCTTGCTGTGCCTGTAGGAATCTGCTGAAATACAGTGCTGACAACCTCAGAAATTCTTTCTTGCCTTCACATTGAATAAAACCTACCAGAAAAATAGCCAACTTACTATTGACAGTCACGGCATTTGTAAAATCATCCAGGAGGCATTTATTTATCAGTAAATCTGAACCTGCAGCCTTCAATAACGTAGGAAGAGGCCAGCTCTGCCACAAGCTCTAGCAAAAACAGTGCAGAGTGTAGAAAGCAGCTCAGAACTGTTCAATGAATGTCCTTAGCCCTGCTTGAATTTTGAAACAAACCTTCCCCCCAAAAACCACTCCTGCCTTCTCAATAAACATTGGGTTGGCTGAGGTGATACACCCTTTTTTACTTGTCATATCAACACCTAAATTAAGCTCTCTGCTTTACTAAGCAGTAGCTTGTTACTGCCTGCGTCCTTGAAAACAACATGGTGCTTTCTTCAGTGGCAGTGTTTGTACCATGGCATGTTCTGTATCAGGTATTGACACCTTTCCAAAATGAAGCTGTAAACTGTTGCCTGTACAGCTGCAACACTTGGCAGACTGGGAATGTTGCTGGCTGCTTTTTAAAAGCCATTCCTAGGGAAATCTCCCTACTTGTCCCTCATTCCTGAGGCCTTTCTAGTTTGGGCCAACAGCTATGTTGTCTCATGTCAAAAAAAAAAAGCACACGTGAGTGTAGCCTTACTGAATTCTTGGTTTGCAATGGAGAGCTAAGGGTTTGGCAGAGAACTGGAACCACAGTGAATTCTGGGTGGCTTGTAGACAGGCTCTTCTCCAGTGTGCGTTAGAGGTTCATAAACTGTGGTTTTGTATTTGTTAAGGCTTTCAGGTAGAGATGAACAAGATTGTAACTTTTTTGTTCTTCCAAATGTACAATTATGTAAGTGAAATGAGGTACTTTAAAAGGAATGTGCTGAAGGCTGCTAGACTTCAACTTGTGTGTTTAATTTGCCCATGCTATCACAATGTTTGAGCAAGCACAGAAAGTGTAAAGGCATGTGCCACCAAAGATGAGTTTTGCAGAGACACTGGGTAGAAAAAAAACATTGTCCATGAAAATTGAGGCATTATTCCTATCTCTGCATGTATGTCCTCACTTGAAAGTAAAGGTCACATGGGTAATAGAAGCCAGATAATCACAATGACAATCTTCTCTATTTCAGGAAGTTCCATGGCTACGGTTCCCTGAAGGAATACTACGAAGAAGAAAGCTGCTTGCATTACTTGCACAGGGTAACTCTTGCAATAAAACTGCTCTTGTACCTTCGTTTTCCTACTGGAGAGAAAATGCACTGTGGCTTCTGTTGTTGATACCTAGACATGGTTGTCTTAACTGGGATTTTCAGAAATAATCAGACAGAGTATATTGGAGTGGGATTTCAGTTTGACACCTCTAATACTAGGGCTAAGTGTTCTGGGCTCTTAAAAGCTTACAACTCTGACAGGTAGTAGCACCCAAGTGATCTAGATAAAGCCATGTGTTCAGCTGAACCACTCTGTGTGTGTGTGAGGATAAGGTGGGAAACGGGTGGTGCATAGAGCCTGCAATTTCAAGAAAGATAGACTTAGTAGATACTGTGGAAGAGACTTAGGACACTATATGGGAGGCAGATGCTTAGCAGACAAGTTTTGCAGAAGTGGAACTGGAAGATGAATTCTTCCTTAATCTACTGAGCCAGAGGATGGAGATCTTCCAAGGGAGTTTCCTGGACTTTAACCAAGGTGTCCGTAACAGAGCTGGCACTAGCTGCCTGATGTGCAAAGCAATACAGAACAAAAAAGGGTGTAGCTATTTGAATTCTGAGAATGGGAAAGATCTTTAACTCAATCTGTATTTGCTCTGATGTACCCCTGTCCCTCTCATATAACTGAGTTGAAAAAGAAAATAAAATCAAGCGCTGCAAAGTACTCTATTGGTGAAAAGCCACCAGTCTTAACTTTCTACTTTCTGTTTTTCTGATGCTTCTCCAGGTACAGGGCAATTCTGAAATAGGATGTCTTAATTGAGTTAAGCTAAGATGCTTTTACAGTTGGTAGACTGAAATTTAAATACCAATTCCTTAATGTTTTTTTCCCTTTTCTCCTATGTTTGTTGATGCAGATCTACGTTCCTCTTCTGTTGGTTAATGCTGCTGATGACCCTCTTGTGCATGAGAGTCTTCTATCAATTCCAAGAGCTCTTTCAGGTATATTGAAACAGTCTGCTCCAGCTGTGCATATTTGTGTACCTGCAGCTTCCTAAATTTCAAAGCATCTTGACTTGCCTCCTTACATCTGTAATCCTGTGGGAGGTGTACTAAGCCTCTTTAAATCACCATTTGCTAGAACTAACAAGGCTAACCTTGGGCAGGAAGAACTTGAGTCCTTTCAGGCACCTTCTGCTGGTTTGACTTGTGTCGATAGCCAGAAAGATACATTTAGGTTACATTCTTGAACGGAAAAATTATTCCTCATGTCTTCATTCCTCACTGGAATATTCTTGATCGAGTACAGATGAACAGCCCCAGTTTATTGATGAAGAGTGAGGGTGGGGGCACATGCATAGCTATGTTATTTGGTACTGAACTAGAATATCTCTCTTAGAATTCTGTGAGCTGTCTGTCTTCAGCCAAGAGAAAAAAGGAAAATTACTTTTAGAAGCTCAGAAGAGTGAGCTGGCTGCTGCTTCATCCCACAAATAGTGGGTGGACATGAAGGGGAGTGGGGTTCATTCTTTTCCTCATTGAAAGCTGTGAGCAGAGAGTTTATCAGCAGCTGCTTCCAGACAGAAGCAAGGGATTTTCTCACTGTACATGGAGCAAGGTGGCTGATGCACTGTTGGAGCTTTGGTGCAGCTCGACATGATGCTAACAGTCCTAGTTCCAGTGTACATGAGTTAAAAATGTCCATTCATTGAAGAACAAGCATTCTCAGAGCAAGACAGGTATTGCTGTAAGGGCCTAGCCAGCAACATTTCTTGGGCAACCTTCTTGCACAGGCTGGGATTGGTTTCTGCAGACTGTCCTGTTCTGTGAAGCAGTAAGGTTATGTGCTTTGGACTTCAAAGTAGCCATGGCCTTTGTCAGTGCATTTGTTTCCTACACACAATTGCTTCTATGGTTCAGATGTTATGCTAAGGATAGAGTTGATTATTGCAATTTGAGACGGTTTCATTCTCAGCTCCAAGGTGTTAACTTTCTGGGACTTTGTGCTTCCTTTTTGTTTTACAGAGAAACGGGAAAACGTCATGCATGTGCTGCCCCTTCACGGAGGCCACCTGGGATTTTTTGAGGGGTCTGTACTGTTCCCGGAACCTCTTACCTGGATGGATAAGCTTGTGGTACAGTATGCCAATGCCATCTGCCAGTGGGAGAAGACAAAGTCTCACTGCTCAGACACAGAGCAGGCTGTATCTGGTCAGGAGTAATTGACCCAAAGACTGTGGATCACTTCAGTATATTTCCCCCTTTGGGAACATCTTGTTCCCTCACCTGCTGCTTCAGGTTTCCATTCTCCTTGATATCTTATGGCTGGGGTTTGATCACAGTGTTTTCTTCCAAAGTGGAGTTAAAGCAGAGGTTAATATCTCGTTAGAGCATCTTTGCATATATAGTCACTTGGGTTTGTAATTTGCTGCTCTGCTTGAAGAATTAGGTTGCTGACTGTGACTTGTTTACAGGGTCATTGAGCTAAAGACTGCTTGCTTTAATATAGCGGAAGTTTCAGATATCAAAATCTCTTCACTTGCTGGTCAAAAACTTGATCAGCAGCATTTGTTTAGGTGTAGACAGGGTAACTATGACTCTGTTCTCTGTCTCAGTGTTGGAAAAACTCTATACCAAGCCATAAGCCAGTGAGTGGTTCAATCTGTAAGCCATTAGAATGTGGCTTGGAAAAACAGATGCTTGACTGCAAGTGGAGTTCCAGCTTTGTACTGTCTCAAGGGAAGTCTTTTAGCTCCTAGGAGTGCACTTACACAAGTGAATTGGCTTAAAAATACTGAACTTTTCCATGTTTCAGTGATCTGTGGATTGGGATATCTTTATGCTGGGTCTCCAAGTAGAGAAAAGCTGCAGGCTGGTAGTACCAGTTAGTATTTCTATGTAAACATGTTCTTGCACCAGGACCAGATCAGTCACCTTGTCATCTTTGCTTCTTTTTCAATGTAGTCATCTTTTAGTACTGGATTTTTTTATTTGATCTAGGACTTTTTAAAGCTGGCTCTGGCTTCCAAATGGAAACCAGTGATGAAAAATCTGCAGGATCTTTCTGTGAGCTCAATCTGGTTTTAAGAATATTTCAGAGAATTATGTACTCTGTTAGAGATTAATTTGTTGAGGGGGAAGATAATCTATTTAGATTTACTCCCCTTATGTCAGGGTAAATCATACTAAAATTCTTCCCCTTAGCTGTCAAAGCATCAAATAGTTTTCAGGCACGACTTGCCTTACAGTTGATGGCGAATTAGATGTCTCTAGCCCTGTGCAACTAACATGGTATCTTTGCGTGGCTAACTAATTCCATAACTATGTAAATGCTGCAGGATTATTGGCTCCAGTAAGACACTGAGCTCTTCCTCACTTGAATTCCTTTTCCACACTCGGACATCATCTTTTCATTTTAACGTGCGAAATGAAGTGTGAAAGCCATTTGCCAGAAAGATGCCTACTCACTTGTGCTTTTCCCTCAAGTGGTTGTTACGGTCTGTGCCAAGATGGTTATTAAAGTCTCTAGTCTATCCCCTGGAAGGAAAGTTGTCCCATGACAATCTGGAGACTGAAACTTTGTGGTCAAAGTATTCTTTTTACTGTTTGTTCTGTCAGTTTTGTAGTCTCATTAATCCATCCTTAGGACTTCTTTACCACAGTGTCAGTGAAGTTCTTTTCCTGTCAAGCTTCCCACATCAATTAGCACTTTATTTCTTCAGCCTTGGTCTGTGTTCCAGGCACTTTAGTTTATAGCTTAAGGGTGAAAAAAGCTGCAAGACTTCAGTCTGGTAATGTAGGGGAACAAGCCTTCTGGACTGCCCTGTCCCTGAACTTCAGTAGGTTGGAGAGGTGGGGTTTTGGTTTAATAAAGCAATAATTAACTATTGTAGCAAAGGTGCATTATCATATCAGGAAATTCCTTTCATTTGCCTTAGGCCAAACACCTTGGCCTGTTAGAAAGGACTGTAGATATCTGCACATGCTCCTTGTTAGTAAATCCAGGTTTCCTTTTTTCCTGAAAAGATGTGGCCAAGTAAAGCTATAGCAAGACTTGGCCATGCTTGTGGCTGTTCCTTAAGAATTAATTTAGGGCATCAGTTAGCAAGAATATTCTTAGCTGATGGATATTTTGTCTCTATGATGTTATCCTCTTATTCATACTGTATCTGTATATCACTAAAATCTGTCATAAAAGACACTTCAGACTTTTGCTTAAGTAGCTGTTCATGTAATATTCATTGGATATGACTTGAATATCTTCTCACTTCAACAGAAGTGGAGTGTAAACAACACTTGTACACATCAAATAGATACAGTATAAATTTAGGTATGTAGGGGGATATGGGTTTTATCTCCAGTGGATTACAATTTTAGAAGTGTTTTGGCTTTCATAGTATACTGCAGCTGTAGCTTACACAGGTTGTGGTTGTCTGCCTTGAGGAAACAAAACTGCCCTTCCCGTGCTTCATGTGTCCTTCCTCAATCTAGCTTTACTGTGCTGAGATGAGTATCAACTTGAGAAAGCTCTAGAGGAGCAGAAGTTATCCTTGGTACTGATACTGCTGTTGAAGTGAAGAGCCCATCATATGACCCAACATGTGGATACCTATGAAAGACAGGTCAGCGTGCATCTGACCTCCTTTCAGAGCAAAATATCTGCCTTCCTTGAGAGCCTTATCCAAAGCAGGGGCTCTCTACCCAGCTCCCCAAGCAGCTGAAGCTCTGCCCGCCTTCCCAGGACCCCAGACTGGCAGAACAGTTCAGTTGACTGGCCCGGAACATGAAAGTCAGGAGAGTGAGAGCTGGCTCAGTACTGTCTGGGAAGGTTAATGCTGAGGCAAAGCAAGTGTTTTGCCTCTGCTTTTTGGCCAAGTCATGCTAGTCCCTCTGAAAGCAGGGCTTTGTCCTGGGAAGCTTTTTCTTAGAAAATATTTTCTTCCTTCTCTTTTGTAAAGATCATTCTTGACAGACCAGGCTTTCAAACAGGTTTTTCTTTCTGAGGTATGAGGAAACTACCTTTTTGTCAGAGGTACCTTAATTTCAAACTGATTCCACTGAAGCAGATGGTCAGTCAATCAATGACCCGTTTTTAAGTAAGTTTCCTAAAATGAGGTGAGCAACTGGGCAATTCTCAAAGCAGCAGGAGCTGTAGCTTTGGATAATCAAATAGAGACTTTGCTTTAAAGTTGGAGGGTCTTTTTGAGGAATACCCCTTCCTGCCCCACAACCCAGGCCTTCATACTTCAAGAGTGCTGATGCTGTGGACTTTCCTAAAGTCTCAACTACGGAAGTAATATGGGTCTCTTGACCTGTTTTTGCACTTGCATCTACAGCTGTTCAAACCATGCAACTTGACCAACTAATTCTAGCCTGTTTGGGGAAGAACTTTTGTCACAGCTTGTTTGTGCAATGCTTCTGGAGCCTGAGGTTCAGCTTGCTAAGGTGGTTGTAGGTGGAAGCAGTGAAAAATCTATTCTCCCCATCCCACCTGATTTTCTGCTTTCAAAGCAAGACTCATGGTGTCAGACTTGCAGCAGTAACTTAGAGATCTTGGAAGTGAGAGAGGAGAAAGGTAAGCTGCAGTACATGTTATCTAAAGGTAATTCTGTATTAAATCTTCCTGCTTGACAGTAACTGGCAACTGATATCTAGTGCCAGTGCCCCAAGATGCATGGACGTTGTCCAGTCCTAGTCTAAAATACTCTTCTCTCCCAAAATAAGGCAATACTAGTCTTGTGATGCAGGCAGATGATCTTTGCCCAGTGAACTCAACCTTAAATGCAATCTGAATTTTTAAGTCTTAGAGGTGAAGTTTTCTTTTTCATCTCTTAAGACACATAAGGTTGTTGAAGAAGGCACTTCTGTAACGTTACAGTGTAGTCTGAAAGTGCAGTTCCAGATTACAGCATGATGAATCTGTCGTGTGCTCCTTAGTTTCAGACTGGGATTAGAAAAACCATTAGCAGAGCTCTTCCACAGGTAGTCTCGTGTGGTATACACACCTCCCACATCACTGGATGAACGTAGCACTTGAACATAAACCCTAAGGACTCTCAATCTGATGGCAAGTTGCAGAACTATTACTGTTTGGTGGTTAGGCTGATCCAACTGTCGCCTCTGTCAGTGTTTGGAGAGATCTGAAGCTTGTAGTCGGTGAGCTGCTGGACTTGCTTTTCCTGAACACAAGGAACTTGCAGCTTCCGCTACATTTGATCTGCCAGCGCTCTTAATGATCCCTTGGTTACCTTCTAAATTGAAGGTGTCTTCAGATGGGTCTGGCAGTGTTGTAGTTGCACTGTAAAGACAGACACTTGAACTTTCCTGCAGTTTTTTCCAGTGTTTTTCTGTAGTTCCTGTTTATGAAGATAGGTTATAAAGACAGGGCATTAAGCAAAGATGTTGGGAACTATTAGCTCCAGTACTGAATTTAGCCAAGTTACCTGTGTCATCTGTCCTGGATCTGTCACAAGTTCCTAGACCTCAGCCCTTTGACACGTGGTGCCTTGCCCTTTTTATCTTCCTCCCTGCACATCAGCATATCTAGAGACTTCGGTAACAGCTCTGTCAGAACTTTTGGGGCTTTGCTTTTTAGTAAATCAATTTTCAGACACTAGGTAATGAGACACCTCTGGCAATGTACACTGTACAAGTGTACTGACTTGACGGACCTTTGTGGGCAGCCTACAACTAGCTATAGTCTATTTTAAGGCTTAAAATAATACATATAAGCAATGGATTTTTTCAGTGCTCTGCTCCTCTAGCAGTAGGGATTGAGTCATTGAAGGAGGGTTTGATATTTTAATGTGACTTGTTACCTTACAGTCCGAAGTTCTTATGTCTAACTTTGTCATAGCTGCAGGTAGATTGCTGAAGTGACTACACCTCAAAAGAAAAAGCAGAGAGTAGCAACTTCAAGATTTAATTGCCAAACACTTAAGTCACCTGAATTGTTTCCAAGTTTTTCTAGAAATATTATGCCTGTCTGAAGCTTATTGAAATTCATCACAGCCTTTTTCAAGGAGATCAGAAAAGGCCCTAGCCTTGTGCTGCATGTATAAATCATTTGTTGTGAAAAGCATCTTGTTTCTGGTTTGAAGTTTGTTCCACATGTCTGTATTCCTTTGGCTGGTCTGTTGGTTGGGTAGGTCCTGAAGCCACAGTGACTTAAAGCAGTGTCTCCTTTATGGCTTTCAGGTGAAAAGCAAACAGCTCTTCTTAGTGTGAGGGCTTACTGAGTTGAATTATTAGAGTCCAGAATGCCTCAGAGCAACACTGCCGCAAGGAAGGGGTGCCATGTAACTGTACCGTTTTATTGCTGGGAGCATCTGTTACACTGGTCTGGACTCAGCTGTTGGGGGAGCTTAGGTGTAAGTGCCACCAATGAGTCAAAGCAGTTGCCAGCTTTCCATGCCATGGTAGAACAGTCCCTAAGGGTTATCCTGAACCATTGCTTTCTGAACATCTGTATTCTTGATTTTGCTGGTTAATCAATGGACATACACACTGCAATCCAGGGCAGCATTTATCAGGTTGGATCTGCTGGTATTAAATTGCCTTTTCCAAGTTTCTCTGACACTCTCCAAAAGCTCCAGCCCTGCACCTGCTAAAGCTATGTCCTTCCTTCTCACTAAATGGCCTTGTCTAACCCAGGTAGTTTTAATGCCAGTTAAACGCCACTAAGATCAGAGCCTGATCCCACAAGGTGACTCTACACAAAGTCTTTTTGGTTTTGTCTGAATGACAAGCTCGCATTGTCTACCTCTGGTCATGCAAGAGCT